TGATAAACTACAGAAACTCAAGAGTTATCGCCACAGAAGACAACACTCAATACCGAAGAATCCTGGAATCATCACTTATTTCTATATCCGACAACTTCAACCAGAATAGTGGCTTCTATAACATATTGATAAATTAGACACATGTGCAACTCTTGGGTATCTTTATTGAGGAAACGTTTCGCCACACAGTGGCTTCATCAGTCCATACAAAGGAGAATCTTGAAGAACAGGAGGAGAATGAGGTAATCAGTCCCTCAACCTTGAGTCGATGTGGTCAGTCCATCAATCTTGAATAGAATACGGCATACGTGCTGAGATGGAGCTTATATACCGTTGGCAGGAGAGGTGAAGCAGTCAGAGGCAGTGTAACACTTATTCAATGTTGAAGTAGGTCGTGCCCAAGAATTAGGCAAGCGAAGAATTCCCAAGTATTAAGATCCCAAGAAGATGCAGTGTCTGACAGCTTTGTAGATGAATGGTTCAGAGAACCGACTGTACTGAACCACTTGCCAAGAAACTTCTTCATCGCTATCCCACATAAGAACACAGGAATGGAAGAACACTGTAGAAGGTCTGCTCACAAACTTACCCAATCTCCTTTCCAAGCTACCCAAGATTTTAGACTCTATAACCCCACTCGGTACATCATCAGATGCAGCATTCTCCACCTGACCTCAGCATTCTGAACCTGACTATAAATACTCTCGTCCCTTCCACCCCAGGTAGATCTGTTTGTGACTTGAAAAAGCTCACTGTGTGGGCGAAACGTAGTCAATAAAGGATCACATTATACTGCATATGTGTTTATATTTCCATTGTGTCGGTATTTTATACCATTTATTTCCATTGAGTCTAGGCCTACAAGACTGGTGGAACTAGGTCTGCCCTTAACCCCCCCCCCTCTCGTCTGCCTAAAGATGATCCAGCCTTAAGAAAATAAACTTAACGAGGCAAAACGACTCGTTTTTCAAGACGTCGATGCTCCTTCCCCTGAATATTGAATGTTAAATCTGAATGTGATAGGTAAATCTGAGTGTGGAATGTTAAATCTGAATGTTGAATGTTAAACCTGAATGTTGAATATTAAATCTGAATGTTGAATGTTAAATCTGAATGTAGAGTGCTCAATCTAAATTTTGAATGTTAAATCTGAATTCTGAATGTTAAATCTGAATGTTGAACATTAAACTTGAATATTGAATGCTAAATCTGAGTATTGAATGTTAAATGTGAATGTTGAATGTTAAATCTGAATGTTGAATGTTGCTGCAACATACTCAAGGCAACCAACACACTTGTGTTGCTAACAGTGTTGTTAACAAGCCAGCATAATTAATGTTAAATATTACGGACGTTAAAATAGGATACAGATTAGCGCATGCTAACACATGCAAGCGCGTGTAAGCGCATGTGGATGCACGTGAGTATATGTGAGCGCATGTTAAAACATACGGAGGTATGTGAAGGCATGTTATGTTAGGCTCTGAGATGTTTTGTGAGGTTATCATAGTGTCGTGAAGGGTGACCTCACAAGCGTGTGACCTTCATTAACTGTGACCCTTCCTGTAGCTGTGACCTTCACTGTAGCTGTGACCTTCACTGTAGCTGTGATCTTCCCTGTAGCTGTGACCCAGAGGGGCTGAGCAGTGACCTTCACTGTAGCTGTGACCTTCACTGTAGTTGTGACCTTCACTGTAGCTGTGACCTTCCTTGTAACTGTGATCTTCCCTGTAGCTGTGACCCAGAGGGGCTGAGCAGTGACCTTCACTGTAGCTGTGACCTTCCCTGTAGCTGTGACCTAGAGGGGCTGAGCAGTGACCTCTCTAACAGTCACCTGGTGATCAGGCACCTGGTAAACAGGCACCTGGTGAGCAGGCATCTGGTGAAGAGGTATCTGGTAAACAGGTACTTGGTGAACAGTCACCTGGTGAACAGTCACCTGGGAACAGTCACCTGGTGAGCAGGCACCTGGTGAGCAGGCACCTGGTGAGCAGGCACCTGGTGAGCAGGCACCTGATGACCAGGCACCTGATGACCAGGTACCTAGTGAGCAGGTACCTGGTGAGCAGGTACCTGGTGAGCAGGCACCTGATGACCAGGTACCTAGTGAGCAGGTACCTGGCGAGCAGGCACCTGGTGAGCAGGTACCTAGTGAGCAGGTACCTGGTGAGCAGGCACCTGGTGAGTAGGCTCCTGGTGAGCAGGCACCTGGTGAACAGGTACACAGAGTGCTATTCCCAGGGTGTGGAGCACCAGGCCGCCCATCATTGATGTGTACAGAGAGACAAACAAGAGGTTGGGAGGTGCATTAATCTTCGTCTACAATTGCTTCCTCCTGATTTTGTCCCCGATGCCGCATGCTCGCCTATACGGACCGCCCGCACATCTTACTACGAACGCGACAGTCGTTTAAACAGCGCGTTTATGGGGTAGGGGGGAACGCCACTGCAACATATAGAGCGAGTATTGTGTACGGAGGAGGAGGTAAGGTGTAGCCAGCAAGAAAGGTGTACTAAGCGAGTGTAGCAGCCGGCGGTCCACTAAGCCGTGTGCTGGTGTCCCAGTGATCAGGGAGGTCCCTCTCCCCCGTGGCCGGGAACACAATTGAACACTGAGAAAATCCCACTTTGGAGCCCTTCCGCCCGGCTCTTTCTCACTGGGAGCCCGTGAAAGCGCCACCTTCCCCGTCTCCCTGCCGTAATACCTCTGTTCCTACGAGGACGAGGAATCTCTTCCTCGTAGCGACACTGTAGCGATGTTGTGTTGGCGTGCAGGAGGTACCAGGTCTTGAAAACCTGGGCCAAGAGACTAGCTGACTGGGAGTCTACAGGTGGCCCCCACTGGGACTATCTGGCAAAGGAGGATCACCCCCCCCCTCCTTCCACCCCTAGGCAACCCCTGGGGGTAAATCTCTGTGAGCCCCGCGGGGCCTGCCCTTCCAGGTGCTCGCTGCTAAAGAATGTGTATTGAATGCCCGCTCATTCTTTCCCATGCCTGCCCATTCAGACCCTTCCTGCCTCCTGCCCTTGCCCGCTCAGGCTTTGGGGCCCTCGTTACCTTCCTACAGGGGCCCCTCACCGCCTTCCTCCGGGGACCCTTCACTTCCTTCCTCGAGGAGCCCCTCACCAATAACTTCTAAGGACCTTTGCTGCCTTCTTCAAGGGCCCCTCACTACCTTCCTCTAGGACTCCGCACTGCCTTTCTTAAGGGACCCTCACTAAATTTTCCTGAAAACTCTACCTTCCTCCAGGGGCCCCTCGCTACTTCCTATAAAGGAAATGCACTACCTTCGTCCCGGGCCTCGCTACTGTCTTCCAGGGCCCTCACTACCTTTCTCTAGGGCTCTTTCTACCTTCATCCAGGGATCCTCTCACTAGCTTGCTCTATCATCCAGGGCTCTTTTCACTTTCGTTGAGGTTCCTCGCTAGCTCTTCTACGGCCCTCTCTATTCTTCACAAAGGCTCCCTCTACCTTCTTCCAGAACCCTCACTTCTTTCCTCCAGGGCTCACACTACACCTGTTAAGGAACCCTTACTATGTTTCTCAGGGGCCCCTCACTATTTTTCTCAAGGTGCCCTAACTACCTTTTCCATGGGGGTCCTAATTGCCTTTTCCAGAGCCCTTACTACCTTTCTCTAGAGACCTTATTATTCTCGCCCATAGCTCTTACTACTATCTTCCAGGGGACCCTCATTATCTTTCTCATGGGCCCTTGCTATTTTTCTTTAAATTAAGGGCCCTCTCTCCCCTCTACAGTTAGTAATGGCTGTTGTTCATGAAGGGCCCCCTTACTACCTTCCTCCAAGGTTCAAGGAGGCCCTCACTACTTCCACAGGCAGTCACTACCCCTAAATAGCCATCTGTACCTACTCTCAGGGAACCATCACTACCTGCAATGTACTCGCACTGGTTTCCTCCTAGGGCCCCTCACTACCTTCCTCCAGAGGCCCTCACTACCTTGAAGGTGCTGTCACTCCAGGGGCCCTCACTACCTTCCTCCAGAAGTCTTCATTACCTTCCTCTAGAGGCCCTCGCTTCCTCTCAGTGGGGCCCTCACTATCTTGAAGGTGCTCTTACTACCTTCCTTCAGGAGCCCTCATAATCTTGAAGGTGCCTTTAATATTGTCCTCCAGGGGCCCTCCCTCGGTGCTCTCACTTTCGCCCTCCAGGGGTACCCCTCCCTTCAAAATGCCCTCAGAACCTTCTTCCAGGGGCCCCTCACTACCTTCAAGAGGCCCTCACTACCTTCAGTGGGGCCCTCACTAACTTTAACGGGGGCCCCCTCACTACCTTCAAGGGACCCTTCACTACCTTCAAGGGGGACCTCACTACCTTCAACGGGGCCCTCACTACCTTCAACGGGGCCCTCACTACCTTCAATGGGATCCTCATTTGAATATTGCCTCGTGAAGAATCTCTTTCAACTTTCAAAACTATTCAGTTGCGTGGGCAACAGGTTAGTGTGTATAGGAGAACAGCACACACACACAACGTGTGTGTGTGTGTGTGTGTGTGCGAGCAACACTGACTCAACAAACTCTGATGTCTAGCACTGGATTTTTCACTCGGTAGGCTGATGTGTCCTCGTACGACCTTCTTCTCCGGACCCCTTTACCCGCTTAGGAAGCGAGAGTATGATGGAGGCTCCGTGTGATGGTATCTGCGGATAAGGACTCGCAGTGAGAAACAATAAATTCCATTATAATAAAGGAGGAAGAGTGGGGGGGAGGAAAAAATAAAGAAATGATCAAATTTATCTGGAGGTGTTGGCGGATGGGCGAGGCAGCGGCCAATCCGCTGAGGTTGGTGGGCGGGGCTAACTCTCAGGGGGGCCGCTAGCCCCGCCCACTCCCTCTCCCCCGCCTGATTGGTCCGCCGGCTCGTGACGTCACGCGGGCTACTGAGAACCCATTATTATTGGCGGATACTGGCTGACGTCACAGAGGCCGTCCGTACTCCATGTCCAGTGTTTAAGATATTTGTTAGGCAGGGCCCTTGGT